GTCATTATAATAAATAGAACAATTAAGTTCTGTTCAGAAGGAGCTAAGCTAACATTAAGATAACGAGAAAGAGGAAGAGTAAGAGCCTAGCTGTTGAAAAGGGACCGGTGGCTGAACAACCTTGCATGAAAATGCTCTGCAGCTGACAGCTAGTGCCGTCTCACTGGGATCAGCCCTTGTAGTGTGGATACACTGAGCTTCCGCCTGGAAGATGGTCTCGTCGGGCTGGTTGGCGTGCTGCATGGCGATGGCGTGGGGGAACTCGTTCAGCATCCTCTGTTGGAAGGCTTCCAGCCTCTCATAGTCATGCCCTCTGCATACAAACTCCTTATTCTGGAGGTGAAACCAAAAAAGAAATTAGGGCTATATAATTGAGTGCATTAATTACAGAGAGAAGCCAAAAAATACGACACTCTGGCATTAACTGACCACATGCCACACATCAATACAACAACAACAAAACCACGCTGGAACAATCTGAAAATTTTGCCCAAATGTGCAAAATGCAGGGAAAAGGTCATGAACATAACTCCACTCAATAAGATAAGACCCAATAGAGCGGCTCAGTCTTCCCAATTCATTGGTATAAGGTGCAAAGAGGTGCCGAATTCTCAGAGCACCTAAGTACAATATATATAAGTATTCTGTGGGTCAGGACTCTCTCATTCAGGTAAGAATGGTGAAGGTTATTCCTGAGGTAGGCAATGAGAGCTGGAAAGATGGGAAGGTTTCCAAAAGGTACCTTCATGATCCAGTCAGATATGAGGAAACTCTTTCTGACTGTTTAATGATACTGAAACTGTAATTGTTGAGCACAGTCATTGATGAAGCATTCTGCACACATCTTACTCAACCCATACAAGCTTGAGACCATGTCACCTCCACCTTCCACCCCATTTTATAATTGTGGAACCAACACTCAAAGTCTTTACGTACTTTGTCACTAGTTTTAAACTCAGGTCTGAGTCCAAGACCTGAGGTCTGTCTACTCTGAGCTTGGCCTGGTATGTCCAGAAAAAAACCCTATGAGCTACCAAGACCAAGAAAGGTTGTGGGATCTCAAATCCTGGAGATCTTTAAGAAAAGGAGAGAGCAGTTTGTGGTCTGAGGGAGATAAGGCCCAAAGTTTTTGGTGTTTTCAGCTCTATGAGGTTCCTGTTATTATGTGAAATTCCCTAAGGAAGAACTCCAGGCCATAGTGAGGTAGTTAGAAACAACCTATGGGCAGGGGGCACAGGTTTGCCGTGGGGAAAGAGCAGCTGCAGGTGTGCAGAGGAAATGCAGCAGGGACTGGGCTCTGAGAGCCTACCTCAATTCCCCACAAACCCCTAAATAAATCACGGTCCTTTGAAAAACACAAGGTAAGGCAGACTCTATCCAAGAAATCAGGACACCAAACAATCCTATGTTTAAAACTTTCTAGATACAAGTTATACCTGCTGATACTGTATTTTTAAAATTCTACTCAAAAGATGATAAATTTGCTTGATAAAAGACAATACATCTTTCCCTGCATGTCACCGGAATCCCAAAATAAATATCCATATATCCTAATAACTCAAATATTTTTAAAGATACATAACAACAGTTTGTAAAAATCCGGAAAGTTACTCTAAGCACACAGGCATTCAATGGTATGAAGAAGTCATTTTGGAATAAAATAAAGTTTGGGTCTGATATTTGGGTTTCTAAGAAACAAAAAGGAATTAAGTATTTTCCCCTATCAATACCCTTTTTAAAAAATCACAGTTTTATAATGCATGAGACATAATTCACATATTATAAATTTGCCCTTTTAAAATGTGCAATTCAGTGGTTTTTAATATATTCACAGAGTTGTGCAACCCTAAGCACAATCTAATTTCAGAACATTTTCATCATCTCAGAAAGAAACCCTGTATCCATTAGCAGTTGCTTCCTATTTCCCCTTTCTCTCAGCTCCTGGCAACCACAAAACTATTTTCTGTTTCTATGGATATACCTATTAGGGAACTATATAATTGGTCTTTTGTGACTGGATTCTTTCACTTAACATCAAATTTTGAAAGTTCATCCATTTTATAGCATATATCAGTATTTCATTACTTTTTATTGCTAGATAATATTCCATAGTATGGCTATACTAGATTTTGTTTATCCATTCATCAGGTGATAGACATTTGAGCTATTTCTACTTTTTGGCTATTATGAATAATGCTGTTATGAACATTCAGGTATAGGTTTTACTGTGAACATACGTTTTCAATTTTCTTTAACACACACCTAGGAGTGGACCTGCTGGGTCATATTCGTCAATAGTCTTTAAAGAACCCATTTTCTATGAGAAAAAATAAACCACTTAGATATACAATTGTATAAATATATTAATTTATCTGAGCTTCAAAAATAATCCTGAAATTGATCAAACAATGAAAGGAAGTGTTTAATGTTGGCACTTGTTTATTTTTAAATTGAAGAACAGACTAGAATGTGATTTCCTAAAAAAAGGTCAGGCCCCAAGATTCTAAAGAGTGCAGTGCCCCTTAGAAACCAATAGAGGGTGACCCTTCTCTTTCATTTTGAAGGAAATGCCATTTATATCCAGAAAAGCTGTTTTTAAAAGAAGGATGATACAGAAGAGTGATTTATACTAATTGGCTTTTTAACAAAATTTATTCTATTAGCTAATGCAGTTTTCTAATTTGCTAAACTCTTTAAAATTATGACTTTTAAACTACTTCTAATTTTCTTATAACTTTATACTTCTAATTAACAGTAATTGCACATAATAGATGTCTAGGGCGCCTCGCTGTACACTTGCTGGTTAAACTCAGAATTTTATCAGAGCTGCATCATGACTTTTGTGGGCCCTAGGCACTTTTGCTTTTGTGATCCTCTTCCTCCATAAAAAAACATTAAAAATTTGGTTTGGTACATAGATAAATATATCAATATTAATATTATCTAATGCATAACATATAATATAATATATAGTATAACTTTTTTTCAACCTAAAAGTTCTCTTTTAACTTCTGATTTTTAAAAGAAATTAAAAGTTTTACGGGCCCCTAAAAATATTATGGTCCCTTAAACACTGTACCTACTGTGCATGATGGATTAGCTAACCTTGGTTATGACATGAAAGAAAATAGTCTTTCACTTTGTGCAATTTTGTGCCAACACAGGAAGGGGATCTACTGTGGCAGAGTCACATCTAGACCCTACTCTGGGGTCTCCGGCCCTCTGTGCCTCCCAGAGCTCTAGAATTCCTGTCACTCCACTTGGAACCTGGACCTGGCCACATGTACTCCTCAGGGGGGTTGCTGATGACAACTAGCAAAAGTCAGCAAGTGTTCTAAATTTGCCATTGTTTTTGATCTGGAATCAAGATTTCCTCTGTCTTTAGGCAGGTCCATCTGCAGAGCCAGCTTTGTGATCATGCACAATACTGTGTGTTGTAATCCAACACGGAGATTTCATATTATGTGTGTGTAGCACCCAAATACATGGCGATTTCAATCACTTTTAAAAAATCAACCTATCATTTGAGCATTTGTTCCATTTGATACTAAAATGAATCCTTACCTATGGTGACTGGATATTTTGGGATCTATCAATCTATCTATGTACGTATGTATGTATGTATGTATGTATGTATGTATGTATCTACCTATCTTTCTTTCTTTTTGATCTTGGAAGGCAAACAAGTTAATGATTAGGTAACAAACAATAAAGTAAAATTTTTCTCCTCTCCCTTTCTCTCCAAGTACCCCCATCTTATATCTATTCATATGTGTTGAAAGTTAAAGTAAAAATTTAGGTAAACACAAATATTAAAATATCTGTAAATTGAGATTTAAAGTCATAATAAATTGACTCAATCTTACATATTATCCCAGACACTTTTTCCTTAGTTGTTTGGGGAAGTACATTTCCTTTTTCGATCTATGTTTTTACATAAGGAAGATGTAATATACTGAAGTGTTCAATAAATATTCAAGCATGTAACATTCTACTTGGCAGAATGTGAAAAATGGAAAGAATGGAGTTGAGTATTAGCATATCTATAAATTTTCCCTTATAGAAATAGAGTTTATACAGGCAATAAATTGGATCTCTTTGGTGGGTGACATCTACATTTTCACAAAGTCATCAAAAAGGCCAAATAATCCTCTTAATATGATTCTGGAGGTAGGGTGTCCACACGATGCGAAACTGTGTTGTTTTCTATAGTCTGCAAGCCCCCCCTCCTGCAATGCCCCGCCATTTTTCTCTGATGCTAACTCTGCGGACACCGCAGACTGAACACAATAGTGAACATCACACAAGGGAAACTATAAGTACCAAGGATTCCTCATAAAATTTAGTAAACTTAGAAAGGAGTAAGTTGTTTGATATCTTGAGAAATTATTGAAAACAAGGCATTCTAGATTAATATAGTGTTTGTAAACTAAAAGGCAAAGAAAAAAAACCTTGTCATGTTATTACCTGCCTGTTACCTGTATTATAAAGTGTCATTAATATTTTAGTTTTTTTGATTGGGATATCTGTATTAGAAGTATGAGAGCAAATTAAATATTAATAGTGTATTACTTACTCTTAAGAAAAATGGAAATTTTTTCCCATAAAATCCAACTCTGAAGAACTCTGGTTCAAGACGCTGCTGGTCCATAATTTTGTCATACAAAGAGGCTTCCATCATCTAGAAATGCACAGGAAAAGTTCTAAACATTTTATCTAGTCTTTCCTCTACCAATTCACAGCAGAGGATTTTTCTTCCATATAAAAGAGAACGTCATTTTAATCAAGTTTGCTGAAAAGGAGGCCTGACTCCTTTTGTGATGCTTTAGGGCAGGGATTGGCAAATTTTATAAATGTCCAGAGAATAAATACTTTAGGTTTTGCAGGTCCTATAGTCTCTGTCACAAACTCAACTCCGCTAGGCCCACCCACAGGCTGTAGTTTGCTGACTCCTGCTTTAAGAGATCAAGTGTATTATTACATGTTACCACCAGGGAAAAATTATTTCTATGCACTTAGTCTATCAAGGAAATTATTTTCTTCACAATTAAATAGAAATTAATACGAACTATTAGAAGCAAAACCTTTCTGGGGAATTCTCCTGCTAGATGTACTCACCTGTGCATTTGCTCCCACCTGGCACATGGTAATCCAGGACATTTGTAAAGGACAATCTTGCACAGGTTGGGCAGGGACAAACCAACAAAACAAACCAAAGGAGACCCATAGTGCAAAGTGCTGTCTGGGCTGCAAGCCCTTAAGTGTGTCTGACGATGCTGAGACTATGAAGCAAATAAAGCTTATAGCTTCCCATTTGTGGTATTATAATCCCCAGGGTTTCCAGAGAAAGACTAATATTGCACTTAAAGACTTCCCCCTACCCTCCCCCCCCGACTAACAGCACCCCAAAGAGCAGTTGGCATGAAATGTAATGCTTTGGGTTTATAAAAATCTTAGTGACTATGGCACCTAAGGGCTCTCATGGGTAAATATTGTCACCTCGCCTCTGTTACACGGACAGGATGCCAAGAGATGAACGGAAACGTTTTTATATTAAATTGGAGCATCCGTCAGAGTCGGCTTGATGGACGAAAGTTAAAACAAGGTTTATCTCTTTGGTTTTTAACTTAGGAGAAATATCGATGAACTGCTGACATGACACACTATGCCAGAAGTATAGAGCCAGTTCCTGCCAGTTGAATACATTTCTTGTTGGGGTGTGAGGGATTTTTATGAGTTGCTAAAGGTTTATGGTATCATTTCTTAAATGGCTATCTCAAAATGAAAAGGTGACAACGTATTCTTTTTTTTAATATATAAAATCTGATGATCCTATTTTAGAAACCTGGAAGAGCCTAAGCACTCAGCAGGATCTTGCGTGTTATAAGATGACACAAAATGTTCATGATGCTAAAGAATAAGGACTGGGGGGCAAGAGGGACTTGTTTGAATGTAAAAGCAAAGAAGGTACAAAACATTTGGTTTGGGGACACAGAATATTAAACTCTTTGAGCTTTTAGGTACTACAACCTGGATTTAGGTCTAGCAAATAAAACATATTTCTGAAGCAGAAGAGAGTCAACAGCATCAGACTTTGGCCCCAAATTGTTTCAAGATGGGTCAGCTAGCCATTTCTACAGATTTATAGATTATGGGACCAAGAATGGTATATTGTTACAGAGATTTGTGTATACATGGGAGCTCTTCAAATGCTGTAGAGATTTTCCATGATAAATTAAAAGTATTTTTGCTTTTGTTTATGTGTGTGTGTGTGTGTGTGTGTGTTTATGTGTGTGTTTGAGACAGTATCTTGCTCTGTCGCCCCCAGCTAGAATGCAGTGGCATCATCATAGCTCACAGCAACCTCAAACTCCTGGGCTCAAGTGATCCTCCTGCCTCAGCCTCCTGAGTAGCTGGGACTACAGGCGTGCATTGCCATGCCTGGGTAATTTATTAAAAAATTTTTTTTGTAGAGACGGGGTCTCACCATTCAGGCTGGTCTTGAACTTCTGAGTTCAAACAGTCGTCTCACCTTGGCCACTCAAAGTACTAGGATTACAGGCATGAGCCACCATGCCTGGTCTCAAACTAAAAGTATTAATCCTGGATTGGTTTGTGTATTTCAGATGTGGTCTTTTAGAATAGACTACAGGCTCACTTTTTGTAAATTAATCAAAAGCATGACAAATCAATTTGTTATTTCTCTGTATAAATAGCTGAGTATGCTTCAGAGGAAACACTTATCTCAAAAAATGTTTCTGCAAGACATATCAGGATGATCACAAAGTTAATTTCATAGAACCAGACTGGAAAGCTAATCAAAACGGGAGGCCATCGCCTGATTAAAATGCATCCAGACACCTTACCCTCATCTTGCTCAGGTTTCTGTAGTCATAATAACTCTCATACTGCTCTGCAATCTTCCGGCACAAGATAATGCCATTTTCCCAGCACTGTGGACAGATGAATAATGTAAATGTAACCATCCCACAACATTTCTTTACTTCTACCCAAGTAGGACATGAGTGCTTTCAGATTATTGAATCTCACTCCTTCATCTTTATAACATACCTTTAATCATATCACTGCAAGTTTAATCTTCGAAACACCATGTAATTAAAATGTAAATTATCAAAAGTCTTTAGAAAGTTAGAAATGATAACCCACCACGACAATCATTAATATGTAGTACAAAAAAAATATTTTCTGGTGTCGTTCCAGAATCAACATCCTGAAATAAGTACAGCTCCACAATGGCCAAGTAGATGGATATAAACAGGCCCTCAGTGCTGAGGAGGGAATTACCGCTGATCCCTAAGGCCCAATTATCCATGACAGGTACCCTGGATTCCTTGCTCGGCTAAGTTGCACTTGTAAATTGTGTGTGGTCTAACCCAGCTGGTTACTCTCAGCAGAAATGCAAAAATTCTTTATCTAGCATAGGTGTCAGCAAACTTTTCCTGCAAAGGGCCAGCAGGGGGGCGGAGGGGGGACCTGCAGCCTTGGGGCCACATGTGGCCTTCTGGATCCTTGAGTGTGGTCTTTTGATTGAATGCAAATTTTACAGAATAGATCCTTTTAATAAACTGGCAGTTATTATTTTAGGCTGTGAGGGCCATATAGTCTTTGTCACAACTATTCGATTCTACTGTTATAGCACCAAAGCAGCCATAGACATGGATGAATACGGCTATGCTCCAATAAGAATTTACCTAGGGACATTGAAATGTGAAGTTTTATGTGATTTTCACACGTCACAAAAATATCATTATTCTTTTGATTTCTTTCAACCATTTAAAAATGAAAAAGAGATCTGTAGCTTGTGGGTTGCACAGAAACAGGTGGTGAGTCATTTGACCTGTGGATCATAGTTTGCAACTCTTGATCTAGCACAAACTCCCAGGAATGGGCTAATATACAAAGCCAGAGATTTCATAACAGCTTATCCTACAGGTGGAAACTTTAGAGCAGGAGGGCACGAAGACATTTCTTGTGCTATTAAGGTAATGATATGTCAGTGTAGTTAAATAAATAATAAAGGAGGATACGAGAGAAGCAATTTCCTTGCATCAAATTTTTAGGTATACCCAATTACATTTTGTAAGAGAATGACAGCCACTGGTTGTATATCCATTTTCTGTTTAACCTTCACAATTTGGAGGACATATTTAAATCTAAGACACATACCACCAAAGAATCCAAGTGTTCAAATCAAATAAACAATGGTTGTCAGATTCACACATTTTTAAAATGAGAACTGCAAGCCATTGAAGAGGGAAAGAAAGTGAAGTGAGGCAATGTACTGAATTGCATTATTAGGCCAGTAGATTTTTCAGCACTCTAAGCATATGATGGGATGCCATATAATTCTTTAAATGATTTCAGTTTCATTTATTTTTACCTTGAAAAAAGTGGGATGGGGCAGAATGCATCAATTTGGGAAGGAGATAAGGGTTTTTCAGAGAATAAAACACCAGGGTGCTACAGTCTGAATGTTTGTGTCCCTTCCAAATTCGTATGTTGAAATCATAACCTCCAAGGAGATGGTATTAGGAGGTGGAGTCTTTGAAGGTGAATAGATCTTAAGGGTAGAGCCCTCATGATTGGCATTAAAGCCCTTATAAAGAGGCCCCAGAGAGCTAGCTAGCCCCTTCCACACCATGGATGGCAAGAAGGCACCATCCATGAGGAAATGTGCCCCGACCAGCCACCACCAGATCTTCTGGGGCCTTAATCTTGGACTTCTCAGCCTCCAGAACTCTGAGAAATAAATTTATGTTGTTTATAAGCCACCCAGTCTGTAGTATTTTGTTACAGCAGCCCAAACAGATTAAGTTACTGGGTGTCAAAACCTCTAGATCCGTGTTTATCAAAGTGTAATGCAAAGTTCATGGACACTGGAATCTCCTGGAGTTCTTGTTATAAAATCACAGGTTCCCCAAAATGTCTGAATCAGAATGACTAGGGACAGGGCCTGGGAATCTACACTTCAACAAGATTTGGGGTGTTTCTAAAGCACATTAAAGTGTGAGGATCCCTGCTTGGAGAGGTGGGCATCAAGAAACTAGAAATAGAAGGGGAAAGGCCACCAACACAACCCCCTCAGGAGGGCAGGGCTGACTTACTTTGCCTCTGTCAAAGTTCTGGATGATGGTGAGGTGCAGGTGCTCCTTGCGCTGCCATTCTGTTTGCATGGGGTAGGTCAGGAACTCCCTGAGGGGCCGGTCAGACCACTCCAGCAGCTCGTCATACAGGAGCAGGGTGTACGCAGCCTCTGCGAGTCAAGTGGGAAGGCCGTGATTGAGACAGGACCCCAACTCCTTCAGATCAGGCCAGTTTTGGACAAGCTGGAGAAAATGCTATCTTCTGAATTGTATGGTATAGTAGAAAAATGTCCACAATATATGCAGCAGTAGGTTAATGAATGGTGACTTCCCAGGATGATGAAATTATCAGAGATCTGTATTTAATCTTTGGGTTTTCTGTATTTTTCCTCTTTTTTTGCTTGTTGTTTTAGTTTTCCCCGTGATGTCTGTATGTTATGGCATAATAAAAATATTCAAGGATATCTTGTTTTGGCTGGTTCAAAGATGTAGGGCAAACATGCCTTTGTTTGCCAGGGAAGTTCACTAGTAAGTCCCTTGGGGACTATGAATGCTTCAAAAGGGTGTGCTTAGGAAACACAAAATGGCAAATAAATTCTTCTGGATACTAAAGGGCTGAAAAATGGAAACTGGTATTGGAGCAGGAGGAGTCAGAGGATAGGCAGAATTTAGAAGGGGCAAAGAAGCCAGAGAGGAGCTGAGTGAAGACGATAAAAAAAAAAAAAAGTCTAGGGACAGAAGTAGGAATTGGAGAGGGTAGCCATGTTTGATGAGGAGTTTGTGTTTGTGTGTGTTGTGTGTGTCAGTGTGAGAGAGGAAGAACTGTTGTGGGCTGCGTGATAGGACCCACAAACCTTCAGTAAAGATGACTGAAATCATTACATGCTTGGTATGGTTGGATTTCCTATAGAAACAAGTGAAGGGGTGATTTTCCATATACAGACAAGTGGGAAAGATGACCTGTATTTTTAAGCATAGCTGACTGATAGGTGGTGTATTTAACAGAATACTTGCCAGTCTGTAGGGCTCTTCTTTTCCTGAACCACAAATATAGCCAAATAGATCAAGAAAAGAAACCAGAATTCATCGTCATTGATGAAGGATTATGATAATTTTTTCCTCCCAACATTGTAATAGCCAACTCATTTACTAAATTGAATAAAATGGACAAATATTTATATTATTAATCCCTTTTAACCACCAACCCATATGCCTCTCAAAAGACATAATAGTAGCTTTTAAGATGGTATTAATAAATGGTAATTCTTTTTCTTCATTTATTTGCCTTAAGGGTAATTACATATAAAGCCCTAAAGTGACGTGTTAATTTCTAATACTATGATTTGGCCATCCCCATGTAAAAAAGATGGTTATAATAAGAAAGGCCAGGGTCCCTGTCACTTTCCTCTTGCCTCTTCAGTGCAGAAGTCCCATGAGGCATGGGCTCTGGCCCTTTTTCTCTTCAAATATCTTTGGTGAGCTCATCCAATCTCCTGGTTCAATTATTGTTGCAAAAGCTTTCTTAACCCAGCAGCAGTCTGTTATCCCCACCCAATTCACTTTGCACAGTGTTACAATATGATCTTCCTTCAATGCGAATGACCATGCTGCTCCTGATTAAAATCAGTCAATAGTAAAAGGCGAAAGATTTATACAATCTGAAGAGAAAGCATTCCCACTTAGAACTGGAACCAGACAAGGTTGCCCACTATCTCCACTTCTATTCAACATAGTGCTGGAAGTCCTGGCCACAGCAATCA